ATATTGCTTTACCATATGCTTTCAGTAAATAACACCCTAATAAAGTTTTTCTTGTATAATCATGTTTTAAGTTTATTCTTCTAGACAACATGAGAAACTAAAAATTCACACACAAGAAAAGGAAGCTTTTTAGACCATTACTGATGCGTGGCTAAGGCACTAAAAAAAAATCTTACTGGGTTTCTTGATGACATTTTGGAATGGAAGAAAATAGAGACAAAAAAAACACTGAAGAGACCTAGACACTGCTTTGAGAGGTAAGTAGGTGGTTTCTGAATTTTAAAGAAAGATTTTGACAGAAAAAAAAACCCAACAAAACAAAACAAAACTACCTTAGCTTTTTTCCTCACCCAAGTATTTGACAAATATGGACATATCTCAGAAGTCTTGATTTAATTTGGCAAAATTTTCCCATTCTGCCAACAGTGTATCCAGTTCTACATATTTTGTGTGTTCTTAGCAGTTACCACTGACGACCAGCTGAACAACATTAATTGCATCACACTAACTCTATTATGGGTGACCAGTTTATTTGGAAGCAGGTTTAATTTCATTTCTGCATCATTACTGGAGTCATCAGATGATTGTGGGGAAGACTTCCCATTTCTTTGTGATAACACACGTTTATAGAAGAACACTTCTATGTGATGGCAGAGCTCTGCATTAAACTGTTCTTTAGATAATTAAAAAAATCAGATAGAGCTGCAGGATACCTAATGTAATATTAGATATGCAAGCACAGAACATATGATTCACAGAATCATATAATCCTAGAATGATTTGGGCTGGAAAAGCGTACAGATCGTCTCGTTCTAACCCCCAAAACATCACAACATTCATTTATGGTTCAAACGGAAGGAAATATTTGTTTTCTACATATTGGATTAGAAATTCTCTGCACGTAACTGAATCTAGAACATTGATAGATTTTAGATCTGTTCCATTATGTTTAAAAGACAGCAAATACTGCAGTTCATGGGCCTGATTTTACTACTCTTAAGCAATTTCAACTTCCTAGGATAAATACAGAGCTCTTAATTATAACAGACAATTTCTTCTTAGGAAGTAAATGACACAAGAACTTTTTAACATCTATTGATGTGTGGGGGAGACTGGGCTGGTTCTCTCTTGAGGAAACTCAAATGAAGGACTATTTATAAAGTACTTGGAGTTTTGAATATAATCAAATGTAATAACAAGGTATAAGCTCCCACCCCCCCAAATTTCTTTTTTGTTGAAACCACTTTTGTAATACTGCTTTTTAATAACCCCCATAATGGCCGAATTAGAGGGACCCCAACTGAAGTCATTCATCCCACATAAAACAAACATTGCTTTTTCTTCTTAGCTTTGTTTTACAGGCTACATTACTTCCAGATGACGCTTGAGGGGCCTAGGAGTTTCAAGAGTTAGATGGTTAAACAGACAGCTGCTTTCTATTTACCATATAAATCAGGGAAAAATCAAAGAAGAATCTAAATATTGGAATTCATTTAGCTCATTATGGAGCACAAACTGAGGGGGAAAAGAAAATAATACAGAAATCTTGCCATCCAGATGCAAAGTTTAATTCTGGTTATCAAGATGAGAGAAAAACTCATCAACATTTGCAGAATTCCAGCCCTCCATGAAAGCCAGCTTTGAACAGTGGATAGATTTATTGGATTGGGAAGGAGTCAGGAGAAGTCAGCTCTGGTTGGGAACTCTCCCAGTACCACCAGGCTTTGCTACTGCAGACTTTACATATCTAACTGTATATTAAAACATGTATTTTTATACATATACATGCACACACAGAGCTCACTGCATTTGTACTTTTTACAGTTTTCCCTTTGAATTGACAACATGCTTTAATTCCTGTACTAAGTATCCAAAAAACCCAACAGATTTTGGACAGAGAATTAAAGGATAGTTATCTATATATTGATTAATGTATGTATTACTATGAAAAGTTCGATATTACACTACAAGGTTTCTGTCCCAAATTTCATCCATCACTTAAGTGCTGTTTAAATGACAGTGCTGTGTATTAAATAACTGAATATGCTGTCACTAAGTGGGATTATTTTTAGGATTTTTCCTAACACATTTAAGCTTCATCTGGCTGGAATTTAAAACCCAAAATTTAGGAGGTAAGTGATGATGTCTGCCAAACTACATGAATCTAATACTATACCTACATTTGATTTTTAATTTCCTCAATTTTTGCATAAAGGAAACTTTTTTTTCTTACATCAGCAAGAAAATGACATGAACTTGCCAAAAATCAAAAATCAAAATTACTCTCCTCTTCTCTACCCACTCTTTCCCTAGAAAGACTGAAGGATAATCTCTTGTTACCAGCTGTAGTTCAACAAGCAGGGGAAGCGCTCAAAAATCATAAGGAATACTATGAAATCCTTAAAAATGTATTTTTGGGGTAGATGACAGCTCCAACAACACATCTGACGTGCTACTTCACAAGAGAAGTTAGCATGTCTCTAGTTATGCTGTTAAGTACTTCTGATATGATAAATTACATTCAGCTGTAATCAAATTACCAAGAAAATAATTGATATGTTTACTTAAGTAATATGTCTTGATTTGAACTGAAAGGAGCAAAATTCTCTATTATTTTATTACCAGTTTTCTTGTTTGCTAACTACATTGAAAAATATGCTTTTATTGAATGCAAGAAAGCAAGAAAGATAAACCTAAGTGGACTCTTCCCATTTCCAACTGGATCGAAGTGTAATATTTCAAAGCAGGTCAATGCTGCTACAAAAACAATGAATACTATTATGGCTTCTGAAACTACAAGTAAACTACACAGCATGAGAATTAGTCTAACAAAGGATAGTGTCTTTGAGGCAATATTGACAGGGGGTGGTTGTCTCTGTCCTGCTGCCTTCTCCATCCTGCTCCTGAATCCCACCACAATGACAAGAATCCACCAGAAAGGGACCTGGACACAGGTCCAGCCTCAATAAATGAAACAACTTGCTCTTTTCTTTTTTAAAAACCAGAAAAACCCCAGCAGAATAGTATCAAGGCAAACAGGGTCAATTCCTTACTCCAGATTCCATCTCTGCTGGTACATCACAGACCTGATGGCAGCAGATACTCACAGAAAGAACATCATGAAATGTGGTAGAGGTAGAACTCAGTATATTCCTACTACCATCAGTGAGTATAAGCTTATGGACTGTGTATTGGGTCAAAAACTTAACTGGATCTAAAGAGTACTACTGTTCAAACACCTAAAATTTAAGGCAATATCTTAAGCAGCACCTAGAATACTTTTATGTATGATTTAAACCTTGTATCTGGCTTCCATGCAAATTCAACTCTGGATTACAGAGTGCAGTAAGAAAATGAGTAATTTCTAAATTAAAGTGAATGAAAAAATGGTGAGAAATGCATTTTTAAAATACATATTCAGTCTGAGCAGAGTAAGAGAGCTGCTTATTAGGCAAATCTCCACCTCTCAATGAACAAACCTGCACAGAGCAGGCAATATTTGAACCACCCTTTCCTTAACTCCACCCTGGGGGACAGATGTGCTACAGGACTTCAGACATTTCAGTCCCCTCAGCTCCTACACTCCTCCTTGTTCTTACACACAACATAAACACAAGCTTTCAGAAGCAGAATATGCTGAAGTGATGAAATCTGGCCTCAACTTTTTTTAGTCAATGGCCTATGTTTCAGACCGAACTGTAACATGAGCACTTTGGAGTGAAAAAAGAAAGGACCAGAAAGCTGTGCTTAATAGTTTACCTTACTGTTTCAAGTATAAGTGTGCCTCCTACATGGCAGTAGAAGGCCATGAACTTATTTTACTCTCCCCTACACCAATGTTTCCAAGTGCTGTCTTCCCCTCTTCCATCCCTGTATCATACCAACAGTAAAAAGAGAAAAAATGCAGTGGAGTATCTAAGTCTCTTGGCTGTACTCCAGGGAGCTTTCCCAGCTCTGTCAGCTGCATTGTTCAGCTGTCTCTCTATGCAAGGGGACAGCTTTGTACAGAAAGCCTTTCCCTGGGCATTTCCTTAACTGCAATACTGTATACATCCAGCAAGTTAAAAAGAAGTCCAAAACCTATAAAGTATTTTTCAAGCATTGTATTCTTACACACCCTAAAATAGATATCTTCATATGTATGTTATCACATGCCTAGATATGCCTATGTATTTTACAGACATGTATCATGTCGCTTCCTTATTTAAGTCATTAAACTATTATGTCAAAATATCTTTTTTAGGTATTTTTATATTTAATGCTAGATTAATAGGATATGTAAAGTCTCAGGCAGGCATATTCTGGATCATCTATTAGTCCTGAAAATAGAGCAGTTGATACATTTTCATCCTCAAAAATCCTGAGCAACTAATAAATCAACTTTTCTCTCCTTCACACAGTACTGCAGTGAGGGTTCAGATGAGTACAGATCAAAGATGCTTCAGCAGTTCGAAGATATTTATTCATGTCCTCTCAAGACATCTCCCTCATCCACCCAAAGCTGAGATTTCCCAACAAGCCATGCAATTAAATACAAAATTGTTGCCTACTTGTGGGCATTGGCTAAGCAAACTGAAGGGAACTGTAAGTATCCATGTATTCAGAACATACTAATTTGCCCCATGACTCCAGTACTCCCCCACAGGCTCACTTGTTTTCGATCATTTTTAGGCATTTTAAGATTCTGTGGATGCTAAAGCCCAGTTCTTAAAAATGCTGTTTTCAACTTTGTGATTTAAATATCCTGAATTACAAATGGCTTGAAACGCACAAGTTGACAGTAAGTCTCTTGCCTCTGCATAGCTGTGGTTTTGTTCTGCCATTTCTAAGTGTAATTCTTGTTTTTTAAAGACATTTCAGACATGACATCATTCATACAGGTTCCTGTATTTTGATGTTGGTGGTTGCTCAGCTGCCACACTCTGAGAATTCTTTGCAGATTTAGGGCTGTATGACTTGAATTTCGAAGCACCCACTACAACATTCATTTTGATACTCACATAATCAGGAAGTGGAGAGTCGTTTGAACCCAGGGAACCTCTCAAGGACTGCGTGGCTTGCTCCAGCACTTTGTTGTGTTTTTTAGATAACAGAGAAAATAGACTGGGGAGAAAAAAATTAAAATAACTTCATGATAATGTCCTGAAACAGTTAGGAAAGAAGTCTTATTATATACACAAAACTTTTAGAATGCAATGCACAAAAGTTTTATTATTTATTTATTTAACAGCTAGGTAAGTAACAACAGAGTTTGAACCAGAAATATTCTACACAACATTGATCTGAAGAACATTTTATGTTCATGATTAAATTCTTAAAAGTCAAACTGTCACAGAAGGAATGGCATACATGCACTTTTAGTTCATAAAAGGTTTGTGTTCACTAGAATGCAATTTTTAAGTACAGCACTTCATGCAATACACTATAATATACACTTAAGAATCTCATATATTATCCGTTCTAATAACCTATTACTTAGGAGAAATCTGAGTATATGACAAAAGCTTTGGGTATTTCAAGGCTGAGTTACTGCGTTTTACTAGTATAAATTATTTTCAAATTTATTTTAGCCTAAGTCAATGAAAAAAAGGATTACCTTAGCTTTATAAATACTCTGTTAGATCAGAGGTCCATACACATAGAGAGAAATAAACACATTTTTCTTGCATTCTGCAAAAATGCATGGCAATTACACTCACAGAGGATATTATAACCTGATCTACAAGGAGAATGGTGGAAGCAGCAACAGTGGGCAAAGGCCATCAGCTACTGCTCAGCAGCAGCAAGGAGTCAGATACTTCTCTAAAGCCCTGGATAGCTCAAACATGGTTGTCAATTCACAGTGATAAACCCATCCCCATTTTTGGAAGAGCTTCTAACACCATCAAGTCCAACCATTCTTCCAGCTCTGCCCAGGCCACCACTGACCCATGTCCCCAGGTGCCACATCCAGATGCTCCTCTCCAGGGATGGGGATTCCACCACTGCCCTGGGCAGCTGTGAAAGAACAACCACTTCCATAGAGAATTGTTCCCTAATATCCATTCTAAACCTGCTCTGGTGCAACCTGAGGCCATTTGCTCTTGTTAGGTGTCAGATGTTTTCAGGCTTTCTGCATTTAAAAACATCATTTGGACTGCTTTACTTCTTTTTGGAGCATTACAGGACTCCTATCAGGTTTTCCTAGGAAAACTACGTGTGTTTTAAAGGGTGGAAAGGCTAGTTTGACCAACAGACACCAGGAGGGTTACAGGGGAGGCTCTGGTACAGGCTGTTCAGAGAAGATGTGGCTGCCCCTGGATCCCTGGAAGTGTCTGCTCAGGCCAGGTTGGACAACCTGGGATAGCGAAAGGTGTCCCTGCCCATGGCAGGGAGTGGAACAGGATGAGCTTTAAGGTCCTTTCCAACCCAAAACATTCTGTCATGATGTGAACATGATTCACTTACAAGTGGCAAAATCCACCTCAGTATTATATTCTGTACATCCTCCATTTCTTGGAACTGGATCAGTGTTTGAAGGCATGCACTGGCAAAGGCTCTTCTGCCTTGTGAAATGATGATCAGCACTGGGAGAAGTCCCCTGAATGTTTTAAACTTGCAATGATCATTCATATTATCTTTCACAGAAAGTAGGAGTGGATTCTTTGGAGGACAAGTGCTTGTCACCCCATTGCTAGTCAAGAGCCTCGGGAAAAGGCCTTTCCAACACTCCTCACAGCCAAGAGGAATTAGTTACACTAACTCATAGCTATTAGTCAATACCACTAGAACATTCCATGTTAAAAGAATGAAGCAACACAGAAATAAAGATATATTGGTAGCTTTCTGCCTCTTTCCCCCCCTCCCATATTCTGTTACTGCATTCACAGACTGAAATTTTTGTTCAGATCAATAACTGGATCTGCCAAGTGGTACTTGGTAGGACACAGCAGCACTACTTCTGCAACCACGGTTATCTTTGAAGACTCAGATTTAAGAGATACTGTCATCAGCACCATCTAGTGCTCTGGAGACAAAATAATCAGTTAAAATCAAGCTGGAGATGCTTATGGTGGGGTGCAGCAAAACCTGATTAAATCTGGTATCTGCTCCAGAAAATACAGGTAATTTCACAAAGAGGAAGAATTTGAAATAAAGAAATTTTCCAACTAGTAGATTCCTCTCCAAAATCCATAAAGCATTTTGGCTTTAAAGGAAATTTAAATATAAACAAAGAAGTGGGATAAAGATTTTGGAAACTGCATGTGTTCAATGCATGTGAAGAGGAAAATGAATATATAGTGGTACACTGCATGGAACCAGAACAGCAAAAAGTAGATTTATTTATTCCAACAGAAATGTGGAGAACTGGGAAAAAGTATAAAGGAAAATAATGGATAAATTATTTCTTTATCTATTCCTAACTTATTTTAAAAAATAATGAAATATACTATAAGTATAGTTTATGGCATAAGCAAGATATTGGTGGCTGATTTCTAGCTCCAAAGGAGCAGTGCAGAGGCTTTTGTTGTCTTTCCAATTGCAAAATTCTGCTTTCTAGCCACAAACTCATGTCCTTCACACCATGCTGGGACAATTCTTTGTTGGACCACTGCCCCTAACACAGATACCCAGGCTAAAAAAACTCAACACAATTCTTTCCTCCATTCATCTTCTACAAGGACCATCCCTTAGATAAGCACAAGGGCAGGGATATACGGCAGGATTTTTCGTACTAAATTTTTCATAATAAAAATGCATAGAACTGCAAATTCAAAGAGCTCCACAAAAGCACTACAGCTAAACACAGAAGAAAAAAAAAAATTTAGACATTGTGATTAATGAATTGATTTGGAGCTTCCTAGGAAGTACTGCTGCCTCCTGAATTGGTGCAAAACTTCAATTCCAAGTCATTCACTTACTATTATGCCTTGGTCTCTATCTCTGAAAACCACCTTGATAAATACCAGACTAATTTTTAAAGCCTCAGCACAGAGTTAGTTACAACCCTCAAAAGGCATTTGTATGAAATTTAGCTCATAAATACCTTTCATCACCACTAAATGCAGTGTTCTAAAGGAGTTGCTTGATTTTGCAGCAGTCATGTCCCCAGTGTCTGTAAGGTTTTAGGCTTGATTTTGATTTTCAGGGCATGAATAATGCAATTTTAAAAAGCAAAAATGCAAAAGGTTGTTCCCCTCTTCACAACATGGTAAAAGGTTCAGAAGTGGAAGTGAGACTGTCTCCCAAATTTCCCTCATGTGTCTTCATCACACATTTATTTTTACCCAATTAAAAGTCGAATTGGGATCTAACAGAAAAATGTACTATGTGGTCACTGAGGACAGTATGCATGGGCTGACAAGAATATGGATTTTTCTATTGGACTATTTGTCCTCTTTCATCCACTCTTCTCCATCAACTGTCAGGCAGGCTATGGAGCTCGACAGCCCTTCAAATCTCACCCATTATGGACTTTTCATAATAATAAAAAGCTATGTTCAGAACAATGAAAACATCTTGCTACCCCAACCCATCTCTCCCTCACAGAAGTACATCCAGGCCAATGCTGAGCAAGCAAAACATTAAGTTGGAATACGAGCAAGACAAGATAACAGCTGGCATGTGTTAGGAAGATTAGGAATCAGCAGCTGGCATTATCAGGAGAAATTCCTGTCTGTGAGGGTGGTGAGTCCCTGACATGGGGTGCCCAAAGAAGCTTGGACTTCTCCAGGGCCCTGGCAGTGTCCAAGGACTGGCTGAATGAGGCTTGGGGCAACCTGGTCTAGTGGAAGGTGTCCCTGACCACAAACAGGGTGATTTTTAAGGTCTTTGCAACCCACACCATTCTAAGATAATGTGATCTATTACAGATCATCAGATCTCACCAGGGATGAGCTCAGCCAAAGAAGACTCAAGGCTGAACAACAATTTCAAGGTCCTGTGGTTGTTTGTGTTTAAGGAATTAAAAACAACATTGATTTCTTACCTCTCTTTACACAGCAGTTTTTAATTTAACTCAGGGCTGAACTTAAATAAATAAAAAAATTAATACAGACTAAATAATAATGGTTGCTAATACCAGTGAATTGATTAAGTGCTATTTGCACACACAATAAAATACAAAGCAGTAATATATGCTTTCAAAACTTTAACACTTTCAAAAAGTCAATTCCACAAAGCCTAGAAAGTGGAATTCCACAAATTAGATCCCAAAAGAAAAAAAAAAGCCAAGAAGGAGACTCATTTAACAGTGCTTCAAAAAGTCTAATTTACATCAGTGTGAAACAGCTCATAAAGTACACTTTTCACATTAAAAAAAAAAAGAAGTATAAAACACAGCTTTTATAACTAAAAAATTGGAAAAAAAAAAAAAGGAATTAAAATTAGAAGTTGAAATGAAAGCCAAAGTTAGACTTTACAAAACCTTTTCTGCAAGCTCTGGACAATGCCAAGGAAAGAGTACTTGATTTTAAGGAAGTAAATAGGATGCTCCAAAATAATTACATGCCTGTTTGTCCTGAGCATAATACTGGAACAGTGATTGTGAAATTCATTCCAAGGAGGATATCACCAGCACTTGTTGGTCTTCCAATGAGACAGGAAGTAAAATAAAGCACAACAGAACCCCTGTTGTAACAGCTTCTACACATCATTTATATGACTTTGTTTCACGTGAGATTTTTTTTTTTAATTAAGACAGTTAAATAACACAAAGTAACATGAGATGCATTATATGAGCTGAAGGTGAAACATCCTAATAGTCTGAAAAATATTTTTAATAGGGCCAAAAAGGAACAAATTCTTGGCCCATATAAATACCAAAAGCTATTAAATACTTGACCAAGCTACCGAAATACTTTAAATATACAAAAATAATATATTAAGTGACATATATCCATATGCATCAACAGTCAAGAAATGCCAATGGCCTGAAGTTGTGCCAGGGAGATTCAGGTGGGATATCAGGGCAAGGTTCTTCCCCCAGAAGGTGCTGGCACTGCCCAGGCTCCCCAGGGAAAGGTGACATTCCCAAGGCTGCCAGAGCAGGGCCGGGAGCTGGACTGGAGGATCCTGGTGGCTCCCTCCAGCTCAGGATATTCTGTGATTCTATGTAATACTAC